AAAAAAAAAATCTTCCTGAAACCTGAAAGAAAGTTACAATCTTCTGCTTTCATTTCATAAGCTTGTTTGGGGGGCAAGCAATCTTTCGATACCAGTTAGCAGCAATTGTTTCATCCACTGCTACAACAAATCAGCTATCATGTCTTTGGTTTCCCAGGTACCCCACTCCTGAAATGTTAAATATCCTGCTGCCTGCACAAGCAGGCACTCACTGTTTTCAGTTCAATGCAAACTGTTCCAGAGATGAGAGATACTCCATGTACTCCTGCAGGCTGTTTGTTTTGTTGTTCCTGCTTTAATAGAGGTAATTCTGACTGAATGTAATCTATTCACTCTTTTTGCATGGAAAGCATTTTCTAAACAGGTTGGTAGAACCTATTCATAGAAAGCAGAGGGATGCAGGGAGGAAGGTGCTCTTCCCTCTACATTGAATTACTCTCAGTTACTGCAATTCAATGTGTGACCTTACCATCCTAAGAATAATAGTTTCTGTGTTTTGGAGAAACTAAGCAAATTAAGCTGAAGAGTAATTGATGTGGTTAAATACAGGATAAAGAAATACTGGAAAGATGTCAGCATCATTCTTTAAAAGATATGGAAGTTACACAGCACGTACCAGGGTTTCTGCCAGCAAGCAAACCTGCTTACATTGGCCACAATGTTCTTCCAAAAAAAGACAGGCTATGCTTTGAGAATAAAACAGTGTCCTGAGCTTTTCCCTCCCTCTTCCGAGTGGTTAAACAAAGGACTTCACTGTCAAAAGCCAACACTAATAGTTTATGCTGTACACTTGCAGACAGAAAAACTGAAGAGAATCCTCTAGCAGTATCAAGTTAATCATCAAAAAGCAAGACCATGATTCAATAAAATCCTGCACTCAGACATAACCCTTAGGAAGAACAACAGGTAACTATTGTCTGAAATAGCTTAATGGCATTCTAGTCACCTGTTAAATGAACTATGCCACCAAGCCATCATTCAAAAGACTTAAAAACCAGTTTTGCACAGATGATGTTGCTCTGCTCCTTCAGCTCCCCTCATCCCTCTACTCATTTCACACAGCACCCAGCCTGTCTCCTCCCTCCCACCCCAGCCTTATCCCATCACAGCTCCAATGCAAAATTGCTCCAAATGCAAAATTTTCAGTTATAAGATTTATAACTCCTCTGCAGACAAGGAGTTGGAGGTCCTTGGGTACAACCCAACCTAATCCTAACTTCTGATCTGTGTGGAACTCATCTATCAAATCTTTTCAATGCCAAAATGAGGGCAAAGCACACAACAACTTCTATACACCTAAAGCTTCAATGAAGTATTCTCAAAGATCTGTTTTCATACCCTAAACCTTTCTTTCCATGGTTATATATTACAGCCTACTGCAGCAATCACTGGGTTGCAGTCTGAATAAACTCAGCTACCCTCCTTCTAAACGACAGCAACCTGACCACCTCACCAGCCAAGAAAAAGAAGTCCATCTATTTGTATTGTATCAGTCCCCTCTGCAACACTGCGTCAGGAAGGGCTCCATTACATCACAGAATTTTCATTCACAAACTTCACAAAACTTCTCCATTTTGCAGCTCACAAACAAACCAATACCTTGGGGCAGACTGCATGAAAACAAACAGAAAGAAACGGGAGATCTTTTCTTATTCTGTAGAAGGGAGGATAATCCCTTCTCTCTTGCATTGTCTCTCGGAGCACTGTGAAGTTTTTAACATAACCTATTTAGGAAAAAAAAAAAAAAAATCCCCAAATCCTTAATTTCCTCTCCTACAGGCACAAATGATTAGAGCAGTGATTTATAAAGCTCAGGGACACTTTTAATTTATCATTTTTGCTACTTCTCACACATATTTCAAATGATACAGTAAGACAGCAGCTTGCAATGTACAGTATTGTAATGCTACTTTCAAGATTAGCACTCAGTTTTGCATGCAGCTAATGTCTGAGTCATCTGGCAGTTGCCTAAGCAGCAGTGGAAGTGTACAGCACAAACCTATGTTTTAATTTACATCATTTATCACAATGATTTTTCTCCAAATATCTCAAACTGTTAAGGATACTGCAAATGATAAACTAATTAATATAATCATTGCAAGAACACAGGAATGTAACTGATGCTAAAGTATTACTGTGTGTAGAGGAGACAGATGACAAGCAGGCTGGAGCCTGGAGATTCATGTGGTTGTCACCACAGAAAAATGTCGTGTGCATGCTGCACAGGGCTTCCTCCAAGAGGTGACAGAGTCCTTGCATTAAAAAAAAGCTTGAAAAAGACTGCATAGGAGGTCAGCATCCTCTATCTATTCCCTCCCACACTAATTTCTCTCTTTTGATTTTGCCTATAAAACTAGTCTTTATATTCCTTGCCTGACAGACAGGTTAGTTCTGACTAAAAGATTACTATTATCACCACCCAACTTTGTGCGCTGACTTGAAAGCATCCAGGTGGTTCAACTTTTCCAAGCAAAAATCACTACTACATTTTAGCCTAGGCACACAAATGGTTTACCAAGCATAAATATTAGAAATGACTCAATTGTCTTAGCTTAAGTTTAAAAAACAAACAGAATCAGAGCTCAAATAAACAAAAGCAGACACCTTGTATGATGAATCTCAGCCCGCAAGATTAAAATATTTGATTCTGAAAACCAGTTCCTACAAGAGATATGGCAGGCAACTCTTCATCAGTTAAGTCCCAGCCCAGTGAGGACAAAGCTAGGGCTTAGAATACAAAATGGTCATGATGTTTAATCTGTGAAATAGAATTTGTTTCTACAATTAAATGTGAACTGTATATTGAAATTGTTCTGCTTTAAAGTGATCCCAAAAGTCATTACTCTGCGCCATCTGTGATATCATGTGGGTGTACCAGACTTCTGGCATCAAACTTAACGGCATGAAATGCTTGAGTTCTTGAAAAGGGGGAGGAGTCAACTTACCACCTTTAAAATTTATTTACGCAAAAAGTGTTCCCCAAAGCCTGTGTAGTGAATATATTTAGCACAGAAAGCAAGAATTAACTCACTTTCCTTTTTCGTTCTGTATTTCAGTTCTAACAAGAGCACTTGCTCGTTGACAATGCGTCATGTAAACAGGAGATGACACTGACTTCTTTCTTTTTTCTACCCTTGTTGAAGAGCTGGCTAAAACAGAAGCAAGATAACAAAACATAACACACAATTTAAGAGTTAAGGCCTTCGGAGGAACCAATGACTGCTATATCCTGTCACACAAAGGGCAAAAATGTAATGAAGGAAATGCTTTCTTTTCCCCATGCATTTTTTCACCCTGATTACATAACACTTGTGACAGTCAAGCAGATTACCGCTTGACCAAAAGCAGACATTTCCTCTAAAGGCTGATCGAGTCAGTTAAACATAGAAACATGAATGACTGTATATTCCTTTGTTAATTCATAAGACACTCCCTTTGTTAGCCTGGAATATCATGGACATATTACTACTACCAGTAACAGTTCTGTCACATTAGAATTAATAACATTGGACAGGGAGTTTAAATTCAAAAGCCTATTAGAGCAAACTTAGCTACTCTAAGTGATGAAATCTCAGGGAAGCTATGCTCAATTTTCCCCAGCATCCACGTACAGTCAGTCTTTTTCTGCCTCATTCTGCAGGACTTCAAAGGAAGATACAAGAGGTAAAAAGTGAGAGGTAGCAAGAAAATAAGCACGCTACAAAAAACAAATATGCAGTGTGATCCCTGGTATCTCCTATCTCCTCTCCATACTTAAAATTATTGTTTATACATGTTATTTCATGCATAAAAGAAACCTGAAAGACAGCGGGCAAGCACATTTCCTCATTCTTCACAGGCAAATCTAAACTAATTCCTCTCATTTAACCCAGCAGTCATCAGAAGAAACAGAAACTCAGTGAGCTATTTTAGATTTAAGCCAAAATAGACATCAACATTAGATGTTCATGGCTTTTCAACTTCAGGCTTATTTGTCTAACAAGTAGATATATTTTTATTTAATGAAAAATAATAAGGAACAGCATTCATTAATTCTTACGGTTTCCCCTTATCCTCATCTACCCAGTATCACAGAAGATTGAACAGCTCCCCCATAGCCATCAGCTTTCTAGTTTCCCCCAGTTATCATTTCACATTGCTCTTGGCCAGCAAGCAAGAAGGGCAAAGCAGGTCTATGACCAGAAATATAGTGGGGCTGAGTTGTTGTTTGCTTCTTTAATTTACCAATTCATATTAAACAGCAGTAAAACTGCAGCAGCAGTCGTGACTGAGGATTAAAAATCAATGCAAGATCTGTAAATTTTTGGTATGAAGTCAATCAAGTAAATTATTTTACTAAATAATGGAACTAATTTTGTAATTAGGAGATGCCAACTACCCTCTAGATATACTCTTCTTTTCCAGGATAGTGTATTAGTTTGTTTTCCCGAAAGACATGATGCTAAGTATTATTGCACCACTATTTAAGTTATTTTTACTTATGCTCCTACAAAAACCACCTTGCTGCTGATGCCTTGCACTACACTTTCAGAACAACCAAATAAAAGTCTTTAAATATTTTGGTAACTATCACAGAGAATCTAGAAATCCTAAATTTAAACCATGGATTAGAGGGGGGATATTTTATGTCGAGGACAGCATTTGCATGGAGTGAGAATATTTTATTAAAAATGACTGCAATTCTCGTCATCCCAGAACTACTCAAGAATTCAAGTCAAACTCACTGAACAGTTCTGGCTGCAGGAAAAAGTGAGGGGTAGAAAGGATCAATGGTGTGAAAAACATATCCCAGCAGTCATAAGGGCGATTTAACTTTTCAGAAAGGAACCCAGATGGGTGGCTCCTGAGGTGTTTTGACTGAGATACCCTCATTCTGCATAATCTCTTCTTACAGAATTTAAAAAAAGCCTGGCAGAAGGAAAGACACACACCACAGGAAAATAAAAGCTGCTTAAAAAGATGCAGAAAGCAAATAAGCAGAAATCCAGCAATATTTGTACCATTCAATCCACATGCTTGCTCTTTTTCCATTGGGATCGCCCGTCTTCTCCTTAAAGCATTTTGAAGGACATTCGCCCCATAGATAATATGGGGATGGGGTGTTCCCTCCTTCTGTGGATGCTTTTTAATGGGCTCAATGAAGTAGTCACCATGGGGCAGATGGAAATATCCAGTCTGAAAATAAGCACAAAAGAGTTAATCTCTACTGTCCAGTACTGGAAGTCAAAAATAAAATAGACTCTCTTCATATCATCATCCCTGAGCTTTCCTTATAAACCAGTCATTACACTGCAGAAAAACGAAAACAGCAGGTTTTCAGCATTTATTTTGCTGCATGCATCAAGGTTGCTTTGCACCTCACAAAGGCACAACAGTCCAAAGGGCAATAGAAAAAATACCTTCTTCCTAATAACCTGAAATCCTATATATGGAGGCAGAGGCTCCCATATTTGTACAAAGCCACTGAAAGGTCAAAATTTAATTTGTCAAATATGATGCACTAGAAAGAGTTGCATCTTGTTGTTCTGATGTTTTGCATCCATTCCTCAGAGAACAAGCCCTGAATAGGAGCTGTTTCATAAGTACAAAGCATAATTCTGCTCCTACCTGCAATTCCACAGTCAGATTACACAACCCATCAGATGGGCTGGACTGTGAGGTCCACCCTCGACTCAGACTACGAACCCACCCAGCCCCCAGGCTTCCAGTGGACGAAGTAAGTAGCTTTTCATGAATTATAGCAAGCTTTTGTGATCATAAAATAGATCTGCGTAACAAAGGCTGTAACATTTCTTATGCTATTACTTCCGTATCAACCTCCCAGCTTTGACTGAGCTATAGGGCCTTTGGTATCCATCTGAACTATGCAGGATTAGTTTACGCCTCCCTCTGCCATGATCTGAGAGACACATGCAACCAGGCATGGCCTTGGTCCCTTATGTCTCAGCATTTTTGCAGGGATTGCTAACGTTGCAAAACCACTGTATAGTCCTTCCACTTCAACATATACAGAACAGCACTAAATATAAAGCAAAGGGTCTGCTGACATGCCAGCCCGCACTGGGGCTATGACAGGAGATTGAGGTATCCCACTCTGATGGCTTTGTTCCATCTTCACTTTCTTGCTGTGGTCAGTGCAGCATTCTTAACTTGCTCCGGAGGCAGAAAAAATGCAGCAACACTGTGTTCCTGCAGCTGCTGTGTTCAAACTTACAAGGACAGACAAATTTAAAAACTGTTTTGAAACGCTCCAAGGTCTTACAGTTTCCCTGGACAGTTGGGAAAGCCAGCATGAGGGTAAGGACAAGAGGGAAATCATATGAAGGGAGGAAAAGCATTCTTAAAACAAGCAACCATGGGCTCTATGTACTATGAGCCCAAAGGCAGCTGAGTGAGATCTCCACACAATGTGCTTAAGTCCCTTCTACCAGATACCTTTTGCCTCCACTCTGATTGCCACAGGCCCAGTACATCCCACAGCAAACTTGTTCAAATAAATAACTGTGACTGTCATTTCACAGAGTTTACCCAACAGTTCTTAACAGAAGAAACTCTTTCCTTCCAGTTTTCTGGTGCAAGTCAAAGTTTAAAAGCCAGAGGTTGGCCTTGGTTTGAAGCCTTGCTTACACCCATAAAGTTTCACAGGTTCAGGACTCAGTCACATATGTTTGCTCACCTGGGATTACAGTTACTGCTCATATGTTTTTTGTTTCATTTTTAAGAAAAAGAAATAAAGACTTCCGATTCTTAAACATGAAAGCCAAAAATGCTCAGGTTTCTTTTTAAATTGTAAATCAAGGCTACTTTTGATGTAGGAGCTAGGACACACTACAAAAGCAATAAATCTCATGTTCAGATTGGATAAAGATGTCAGGCAAGCATGCATCTATAGAGCAAGAATACCTATACAGAGGCTAGACCAGAAAATTGGTAGATGTGGCTTTCCTCCTGCTGCTCAAAGAATCAAAGCACCATCACAAATCTTTGTCCATTCCTTTCCATTCCACAGGATTTGATCTTCCCTAGATATTCTTAAAGTCTCGGTTATTTGACTTTCTTTTCCTGTTGTGTTTTTTAACCCAGTTTGAACCAGGAAGAACTAACCATTTTCACTGCAGACCCTGATTTTATAGGGCAGGCTGATTAGTCAGCGGGCTATTGTGTTAAAGTTGCATCTGTAAGAAGAAAGGCCAGGCAATCATATAAAAAATGAAGTATATTACTAGCAACCTCATTTCCCAAGCTCCCCCAGTGATGTTTGCATGTTAAAATTCAGCTCTCCATCCAAGCTGTATGGAGCAGAAGAAAAAACAAAAATTCATCGTATTTCATACTGCGTATGCACACACACAGATGACAGTAAAGGTAGTTCAATGAGCCAGCAAACACTGGCTACCACAGAACCTGGCTTCAGACATTCCCATTGATTTTTTTTTTATTATTATTTTTTTCTTAACTTTATCATTTTTCAGTATGGAATATCTATTTCCACAGTCTTACAGCTTTTTGTTATAACAACTCTATCCCAAGCCATCCCTGTTCCAAAACAGCCGCAACACCCCCAACCAGCTGGCATTCTGTGGACAGCATTTGTTAATGCTGTCCACAGAATGCCAGCGATACAGCTATATCGTCCCAGGCACCTGCGGTAGAAATCCTGCCAGTCTTCCTCTAGATCTGGGATGAAACTAGGAGCTGTTCCTCCTGCCCTCTGCATTAATTGCTTGTCTGAACTAGTTCATGTACTGTTCTTGTCACTGTCGTTGTAGCACTTTCCAGGAATACGTGTGGCTACTTGACTCACATCTACTGCATGTGCTTCATTCTTTACATTGATAGATAACTGAATATGGACAGAAACACAGTTAACAGCACCATCCGTCTCTGTGTTGTGATTACTACCTTTGTGCTTGTCTCCTCTTTGTTATGTGAGGCAAGGTCCAAGAGAAGCCTCCCGCACTTCATGCAGAAAAAGTGGAAATTTTTAATACCCCTTAATTCTGGAAAAGGCCATGTCTGTGTGTCAGATCTCCCCTGAAGAAAGCTACGTCAGGTGTGTGTAACTTCTACATGACAGCTTTAACATTTGTTCTTTAAAAGAGGGTGGTAACAGCCAGAACCTTCATATTTGTTTGCTACAGATTTCTGAATCTTGGGAAGATAAAGGCTGTTCCCACACTCGATATCCAGACTGAAGTCACTGTAGAGCATGAAGAAGTCTGAGGACCAATTTTACCAAGGAGACACTCCAGCATTTGCAGAGTGTCATCAACTCACAGTTCAACTTGCCACAACAGCTCCTGACACCTTGGGACTATCAGAAAATCCCTACTTACTGAAAAGCAACTAAGCCTGTGGAGTAGCAAAACTAAACTGGAGCTAGAACCGCTGCCAGCTCAGAATAAAACAAGAAGCCTAGGTATATTTTCAGGTTATACACAGCTCTTCATGGTTGGCTTGGCAATATCCCTGGGCACACGCACACAGCCATTTCAGGCATTAGTGCAATGATGCATCCCCACAAACAACTGATGGGATGGCATTGAAATACATAAACCAGCTTTGCCACCAAAGAGCGCGCAACTGTACTTGTCAGCGCACCAACTGAGCATTTCTGAACCACAGACATGGCTTGTTGCAGTTTCTCTGGTTTTAGCTCTGACCTCACGATGACCAATGAAAAACCCTTTTAACCTCAGCCTAAAGAGTGGTTCTTGGGACAGGCGGATGCTTCCTTCACTCTTGTTGCTTCTTGCAGTGTTGAAAAGTATCAATATCATGAATTCAAGGCTACAAGTCAGTAGGCCAGTGTTCTGCATCAAACTCTTGGTTTAACCCAACAAAGCATTTGGGAACGAGGTATCCCTGCCTCTTTCCCATCCCCACCTACTTGTCCCTGCCATCAAATTACGGCCATGAGTCCCTCCACAGTGCAGTCCGAGGCGGGAGGAAGGAGGAGCAAGGTTACATTGAGCCTGTATAGCCTCTAACCTCATTGTAACATGAACCCTGCATCTTGATTCAATTTATGGAACCGACCTGACATTCGCTGTGAGACTGAATGTACATTCAGCGCTTGGGAATCTTCATTAAAAAACTAACTTATAAATCATCACTGTTGTGCGAAACTTTCTCCTGTTTTCTGTCAGTCTACAGACTAAAGCCCAGGTCTACTCGTAGTACCTAAAAAATCTGCAAAGAAAAGGCTGGGGTGACACTGTGTTACTGTTCTTACACAAAAGATCCAGCAGAACATACAGTTTTCCAAGTACTACACTTCTAGATAAGGTGACGGATTGCAAGTTGTAACAAAAAAATCATTTGCTCCAGAAGTTCTCATGGAGCCTAAATTCTTGTAGCAACAGAATTTATTTAAATAAAACTGCTTGCTCTGTCTGTAACAAACTCCCCAGTAAAGTAAGGTATTTATAAGCAATCTTCCCTTTCACTTGAGCTTTGTGCTCTGGGAGTTTTGAGAGTTTGAAATTTGGATGAAACCATCATCACTACAATGCAAAATAAGAGAAACACCATTACATCCTACATGACATTTTATTGCTATCTGCACTCTCCCCAGTAAAGAGACCTGCCTCGATGTCTGCCCTGTTACAGGGCAAGAGACAGGATATGGCAACCAGGCCAGATCGTGTCTCTCCAAAGGTGTCAGTCAGTGTGTTTCCAAACATCCCTGAGTACTCCCTCTTCCCTGACAGTTTCAACATATGGGTATTCTCTATTCATGTTGCTAGCTTGAAATCAGTGCATGCATTGCCCTAATTTATCTTGCCACTGCACTTCTCATAGTGCTACAGCATGTGGAGAAAGTAAGTGGGAAGAGAAAATGTAAACAGAAAAAGTAGAATAATCTGACTATATTCTCTGGTCTGTATTACTACTCCCAGCCACCAGTCCCAGAGGACATAAGGGTTCTTGAGACCAGTGTCTTAAATACAGCTCTGTAAATGTGGTACAGAAATGTTTTATGTCCTGTGTTATCTGAAGTACCATAAGCCAAAGCATATTTGGGGAGGCTCAGGAACTGTAGACCTTTCTGCACAGATGTATTATGCTCGTGACTGCAAAAGTAACTGAAGAGTGATACCAAAAATGTGCATTACTCCATGTCCTCTAAAAATCTGTAAAACACTATGACATGCTCCACTTTTATTACCTGC